TCCAGAAGAGCGGCACTTATGTGTTCCTAGGATATATTAAGCAAGGCACTTCTAGCGAGGACTGCAAAACAGCAGTGGGTCGAGTCTCATCTGATGTAGTTCTGAAGGCCCAAGTTTGACAAACTGGATCGAAGAGGATTTGTTTAACAACAGGAGACTGGAGAAGCTTGGAGTCTCTGCCAATAAATTAGGAACAGCTACGAGGAAAAGAGAAGTCAGTTAAGCCGAGGAACAGCGTGACACAAGAGCGAAGGCACAAACTAGTTTGGAAGAAAATTTCAAGTGAAAATAAGAAAGCCTCTAATTGTAGACCAACTTCCCCACTATCAGTTTATAATATCACTGTCTGATAAACTAAAAACTGATAAAACTCTGACTAATTTTAGACTGGAGCTTAATATTTTTTAAAGTTATTAACTGTTGCTGCTGCCAATATGATGCAATTGCAACCTATGACCCAAGAGAACCATTGTAGACTTAAGTTCTTAATATACTGAAGAACTTTAGGATGATGCATAATTTGATTAAACCAACACTAAATTTCAACACTAAATTTCAATTCTAAAAATACTGAAAATTCCATCCATTAAAAAAATTTAAAATAACTTACAATTAGATCATTTGCTACACAATCAAAACACAATCTGGGAAAATTACCATTCTTAACCTTGTAGAATTTTTTGAAAGACATTACTTATTTAGCAGTTTTATCTTCAAAATAATCTCTCTCCAGCAATTTTGAATCCTCTCTCTTTGAAGATAAAGATGTGGGGTCCTTTTAGCACTTGGTGTTTTTAGACTAAAGCTTTTCTTTTAATACATAAGGCCATAGGCACCTCCAAACTAGCACTTGGTATTCCTGAAATTAAGATCCTGAGAGAGGGGACTTTAGAGCAGTATTATCTGAGAAGAGAGAACAAAAGATCTTTTTCATCTTGCTCATCACTGGCTCACCCACATTCACCAGCAGTTCAAAGGTTCCTCCATGTTAGAAGATGTTCTATGAAAACTTGATTTCACACCGTTGCCATTACAGATTGTCACGGAAGAAAAACTAATGATCAAAAACCAATGGCTAACTTTTTTTTTTTTTTTTTTTTTTTTTTTTAGACTCCCTTTCAGATACTGGCAATAATTCTGGTAAAAGTTTTGTGTGCTCACCCAGGGCAATGAAACTTCTAGAAGAAGGGTTTGGTGGGTCATAATCTAAAAAGGCCAAAAGATTCATGGGTTATTCTTCAGGTAAAACCTCTCCTATTGCAGTCAACTGCATCACAAGGTCATTTCCCAGTTTGCCAGCTTTTTTCCAGCTCTCTTCCTACTCATGAGAGTAATCACTTCCCTCCTGACCTACATCCCCATTGGGATCTCTTTCATGGACTGAATTACAAATTAGGTGCAGATGCCACTAGGACTAGGTTTTAAATTGACCGCTTCTTCCTTTCTGTACTGTACAACATATTATTTCCATATTAAATCACATTTTGCCAGATTTGGAGATTTTTTTCCCCCTTAAAATCCAAACAGCTTCATGAAAGTAAAGCATTTTAATAACATTTCCTCTTTAAAAAGTTTTTAAAAGTAGTTAGTATGTAAAATGTAGTTTAAAAAGCTACATCACTGTTGTACCTTTGCTCCTCACCTTTTTCAGTGCATGCATCATTCAACTGGGATAACATCTGGGGGAAACAACAACCTGATGTGTGGCTTATAGAAGAGCTAAAGACATCAGAAGTGATAGCAAGAAACGACTTGCCAATAGAGCTACAAATGCCTCTGGGAAGGGCTGTTTGTTCTGCCAGCAGTGATTTATGGATCTCTGCAAAGCATTTTGTAATCCTAATCATCAGTCCCTTTGCCATAAGACACCTGAAGGATTTCCTGCGTATTTTAGGCTGAAGAACTTCATTTCAGAGTTTCTCCACAAAATAAAAGCTAATGTTGAGGATTCCTATGTAGTAATATTCTATTTTCAGTTTTAAAAGCTTGAGTGGCCATTATTTTAACATCGCCATAGCTGCATTAAAAAAAATCCCAAGCACAGTTAGGACCGTACAAGAGATACAGAAAATTAACACGGTGAAATATGCAGATTGTTAATTGGATATCACATTAACCAATATTAATTTACAAGGGTTTAAAACCAATTAAATTTTCTCAAGATTATATCACTAAAACTGCTTTGTTAGTGAGCAAGTGTTGGAAAATTATTCAACCACTTAAGGTCGCTGAGTAATTTAATTGGTATAATTATTGCTTTCATGTTTGGCTGGTGGACACAAAATAAGTATCTGATAATATCTCAAAACCAAAAGATCCTGTATATAGATACTTAGATATTAATATATCCTCTAGAAAATCAGGAGCTAAATATAGCCAATTTTGAAAAAGGCCACAAACAAGTAAAATACATTTAATAAGAGGATTTTTTCTAATGTATGCAAGTAACTTGCCATGCTTGCAATAGATTAAGAAGAGAAAAAATATATATCTTTCCCGCCCCCATGAGGAACTGCTCATTTCTCATAAAAGTCTGTTTTGGTACGAGATGAAAAAAAATGAAGGGAAAAAAAATAAAACCAGCAACTGCAGGTTTTCTTTCTATCAGAATGGATATTTTGACATCAAAAACTACCTCATAGTAGATCCAGTATGCTCTGTATTCATTTTTTGTATTAGATACATTGGTTTAGAAATTGTGACATGAATTCTTCATTATATATGATGAAAGTTAGGTCAGTATCTCCATGCTCTGAATCCCTAGATACGGATGCTACTAACATCCTCCAGCTACAGGTTATGTCAATACTTTAACTCTCCAGACCCACTTATTCCGTACGAATTATCACCCCTTTCCTCTCAGAACATTTCACTGTAATCTCTTGAAGGAGGAATGCACCATTGTGATTAACTCTTCCTGGAAAAACAAAACATGCAAGTCTAAGCTTAAAGAAAGAAAAAGAAATAAGCAAACCACATATGCAGCCCCAACGAAAGAGCTATCCAATTATCAACTGACATTCTTTAGAAATTAATTTCAAGATCATTGCATTTTATTTTAATACACATGCTCCTAAATGCTTCCAAAATGAAATCTGCAACACATACACAAAGCCAGAACCATCCACTACAAGTCATTATTTTCTATGCCATGAAAGCAGGAAGGATAATCTAGCACCATTCTGCCAAGATTTTCCATTCAGACAAAAAAACATTTAGGCAGTGATGATAAATTTCAGCCAGTTATGTTATTTCTTATAATAAATACCAAAGAATGAGATCCAATTTAGAAATGCTTTTCTTTYCCACTACTACTGAAGAGCAGCTTCKTTAACTCCATCAATAATACTTTGTTTCCTTAGCAAAACCTAAAATGCTTTGGGTGAACATACTTTTCATTGCCAAACAAGACCATCAATGCTGTGTGAATGAAAATAACTGCATGGCTTTCAGCCTCTAATCAGTAAATGTGTCAAGAAAGTGCACAAAAATTCAGGATTCAACCCTTTTAAAAGTAGTTTTGAGATCTCAAGTCTCTTTGACTCACTGTGGAGATACAAGAACCGACACTTGTTTCCCTTGCATCCAGTACACTTCTATCCTTCCAGAGAGCTCCACGATGGACACATTATTGGACTTCCCCGAGCACAGTATCACAGGTCCATGGAAGCCTCTGACCATCTTGGCTTAGTTCCAAATATATCTGTATCAATCTCTGAAGCATCAGTAGTTCTTCACTGTCAGCTAGACTCACAATGTCATATGAAAATTTTATGAATTCCAGTGCACACCTCTGAAACTGCAGCTACCACACATTTCACATCCGAAGTATAACAGAATAGAAGGGTCTAATCTCTCCACAAGAAAGCCACCTCTCAATGCTCAATCAAAAAACAAACTGGTKACAGCAGTGCATTGGAGAAAGTCAGTTTATGCAGCTGTTTACTCTCCCTGCATTTTACATGATCTTCTGAAAATCACTTGTTTAGAAATACTCTGCCGAATCCCACCTCGCCAGCACTCTGCCTCTTTGCAGCAGCCAACATGAGAAACTTGCAGTAACCCTGTCAGAAGAGACAAYCCTACTTTCTCTTGTACTACAATTAAAATAGAAATAAATATATATATATAAATAAAAAAAAGCAAATTCATACCAAAAAGCAGAAACGTGGATTTTGTCAAATTTAACCACTGTGTTGCTTGGCAATAAATGGACAAGCCTTCTTTTAATCTTGGCATATCTTTAATCGCAGTCATATTCCTGAGCAGTGAATCCCCTAGAACAAGCGCATGTTTTGGATGAAGTACTTTCCTGGAATCAACACTTCCCAAATTTGCAAATCTTTCCACATGATGGTCTTTGCTCTCATGCTATGCTACAAAATAAGCATGTGATTAATGTACATGGATCATGTCTGGTATTATGCATTTTTAATCATCTCTTACTTATCTCCTTCTAGCATTAAGGATCTCAGTGTTAATACGATTTCAAGATAAAGTTTTCAAAAATCGTGTGCATCCAATCCTGAACATTCACATCTGCAGGCACCCAGTCTGACTGACAGACATGAGGAATTCACTAAATATACCAATGAAATGCTAAATATGAGTAGATGAATCAAGAGTATGATTTTTTGACTCAGTTCATTCTGAAAAGTGTTGGTGTGACCTTTTCATTCAAATGTGAAAAGAAAATGATTACGTATTTCAAAGAAGGAACATTCAGACGACATCTGATAAGTTTCCTTACTCTTAGATTAAAAGCACTGAGGAGTCCAAAATGCTATTCTAGAGTCACTTTGCTGCATAATACTGCAAAAAAAGTGAAGATTACTAATTTAAAACAGAAGTAAAATACATGTTTTTCAGTTAWAATTTATAAACCAAAGACACTATCAGGATTTTTTATTTCTTAGTATGACAAAACAGAACAGACAAAGTGTATTCTACTCCACATGCAGAAAATGCACAGCAAATAAGCCCACATATCTTTGCCTTACCTGTTTTCCAGATAAACCGATGATTTTTCCTGGCTTCCAGATCAGCTGCTTGGGACAGGAAGAATACCAATAACAGCAAGAACTTGCCCAGGCTTTGCCATGCCCAGTGAGGAGAAACCCAGTTCTGTTGCAGAAGCATAATTCAGATAATACCGTCCCTGGTCTTCTTCAGTCCTRGAATTAACGAAAAGAAAGTTTCTTAGGAGACTGGTACCACCAAGGCAATAGGTTCGGTTTAAGGGCAGTGTGCTGGAAATGTGCATAATCCCCAYGTGCCCAATCCACCAAGGACACAATTGCTATAAAGGCTCAGCTTGGGAGGGGAGAGTGTGGCAGCTCCCAGAGGACCTGCAGGCCCATCCTACAGTGTAAAAGCTTTTAGCAAGTTCTTAAAAAAAMAGATCTGCCAGTGCAAATAAGTGGCAAGGGATCTGATAACAGTGTGTCACGTGTCCCTTCCTTTTGCTATTTGATTTATCTTTAGTATGAATATTATCGTGTTATAGGCAGATTAAAGCAAAGCTGGGAATCATTTCAAGGTGCAAAACTCAGCTCTGAATACAGATTCCCATGTCCTACATTTTAAGATTGTTGACAAGTGAAATAACAGATTTGGAAATGTTGTAGCTCCATACAATGCATGAACACAGTGTGGACAAAAGCAACATGAGGCAGAGTAGTAGAGGCAAATTCAGAGAAGCTGGAGATTGATGATCAGTACCTGAGGAGCCAGCCTGGAGGGGAAAACCAGATTACCCAGGTATTTACCTGGAACGTGGGACATGAATCTGAACTTTGAGTTTCACACCAGCAATCCGTTCTGGAGAGGTGTCTCACTTTTGTGAGAGACTTATTTTTAGAGAGCACTTGTTTTTAAATCAGGTTCTCCAACACTTCAGAGAAAACACCACAACCATATTGTGATCAAGCCAGGAACATATCAAGTCCTGTTCCCGGGACAATTCTACCTTCAATAACCCCTTAAAAGCATAAATCATGCTACACAGGAAGCCAGAGGAATGTCCCTTTGGCACACTCTGCCACGCAAAGCAGGAATCCCACTTTTAAATGCATCATTGTGGGGTCGAACTTTATACACACAGTGTGAGGGCTCCAAAATAAGAGATTTTAAAAAGCATATCTTAACAAATCTTACCAAAAAAAAAAAAAAAAAAAATTAAAACTTCAGTTCCTAACCCGAGATTCTGATCTCTGTTTCTCACAACCCACAGGTACACCAACTACCTGCTTACCTAGGGGGAATTTTTAGTTTTACGCTAACTTCAAGATACTTTTCTTGAATCCAAACAGTTCTGAAATATCAAGACATGTTCATGGTACATGTCACACTCAAACATGAGCTACTTTCTGATGTCAATTTACCTATTAAGTTTTTCTTACATAATAACTTTTGTATTAATACCATGTTTATATTCTCAGCACATCTACTTGCTGTTACTGATTAATCTAACTTTTATAGGTAAAAATGTCACATGCATATTGGAGTAAGCAGAGAGGCAAGATCTGCCTTCAACAAATGTCTTCTCTGGCATAATCTTGGTGGTTTTCATTAAAATTATCAGTTATTAAAAGTTTACTGCAGAAAATTTCATTACATTTCTAACCTTATGAAAAGCAACATTGTTATAATACATAATACACAGTATAGTTCTTGATAAGAAAATGAAGATAAACCTGAAAGTAGTATATACAGAATATACAGGAAAACTTTCAATTTCAAACCATATTTAAATTACTTTGAAGCATTTTCTATCATGATCAATTCATGTAACTACATTTAATCAGATAATGACAAATGCAATGGCATGTACAATGTTTTATCTGTTATCTAGTCTAGTTGATTTTTGGTTTATGCAAACAGCATATTGTAGGACTTGAGAAACCTGTCAAATTGAACAAACACTGTAATGCAGGTTACCTAATAGGTTTAGTGCATTTCTCGTGTTCCTGGGTTAATTTGGGGTTTCCCGCTGGATTCGGGGTGCGCTCTGCAGAACACGGGCTGTGCGACGCAGAMCCTCAGCGGCCTTGCAAGGCGCCCATGGGAAGCGCGGAAACTTTGAGCACCCTTCAGCAAAGGGCCACCGAGGGCCCCATGTCCTTGGTTATGTGGAACATGTTACCCCAGCACAAGCACAGCAAGGTGGACACTAAGGGAGCCAGCAGCCCTGCGTCGTGCTGCAGTTACGTGGGTTTTGGTTTGCTGTTGACTATCGCTCCTCTAGATCAGTGCTCACCTCACAGAGAGGAGTTGCGGATGAGGGACTCCCCAGGTGTCCTCAGCATTACAATTGCCCAGGGTGGCAGCAGCACAGGGAGTCAGCGGCTTCCTGCGAGGGGAAAGAGAAGGGATTAGCGAGGGTGGCTGCWGCGCGAGGGCAGCCGGGCCGGGCAGACACCGCTCGCGGGAGCCGCGCGGCAGCTCCGCGCCCGGGGCAGCGCAGCAAACACATCGCGTCCCCGCAGCTCCAGAAGGACAAATCCAAGGAAAATAGCTGATAAAGATGCTGAGATTTTTAACGAAGCACAAGTAGAGCTAATCAGCTCCTTTCTAAATACACTCCCTCCTCCTCGGTGTTAAAAGGGCCAGTAAACAGCATCAAGTCCCCAAGGGGAGCAGCCTCCTGCCCAGAACAAGGGGGTTCACATATGTTCACTCTTTGGGCAAGCAGCAAAGATAACAGACTGCAGCTCCCAGCGGAGCAGCAACACAGATCCCTTAAGTCAGAAAAACTGGAAATAAATTAGCCACCGTGAGACTGTTTCTAATGTCAGGTCCCCAGCAGAGCCCGGCGGCACGGCCAGGCCTGCAGCGCGGCGGCACGGCCAGGCCCGCTCTGCGCCGCTCGCTCTGCGTGGCGCCGCGCGGAAGCGGCTCGGCAGCGGCTCTGTCCTCGTGCGACAGCAACGCCGCTGCGCAGGCGGCACGCGCTGTCGCCACCAACACGGATGCACGACGTGGTGACGGCCACCAGCACTTCACATCAAATCTAGTTACGTTCCATCTCAGTTTCCAAATGCATCAGCATGGCTAGCTGTACATTGGCAAATACAGAGGAGAAAAAGAGGGAAAAAAAAGAAAATCCTATTTTAAAAACTGACTTTACTGAGACTATTAGTGATTAGATCCATGTAACCGCTTAAATTTGTWCAAGATACACGTTTTTCCCACAATTTCTTTCCCAAAACCGACTAGCTGGATTTATTCACTATCCTTTAGGATAGACAAGCCTGCTGAAGCAAACCTCTGCCTTGAGAGAGGCTCATGAAAGTAAAAGAGTGAGTGAGGTGACCCTGGCATCTTCATCATTTGAGGCATCAGACAGAAACGTCCTCTTGGTTTTGTTTCATGTGYATGGCATCTTGCTCAGAAAACTAAGGGCATCCCCATCCGCCAGCCACAAGGCAGTTTTGGAAACAATACGTGCAAATTTTCAGATGCTGTTAAAGCATTATTTTATTCCCTGCTAATGATGTTAATGACAGAATTGAACAAAACTGGTTTTAAAGAACAGACTTTCACTTAGAAACTTAAGTTTCTGCTATTAAAAACTATTCTAGTATAGCGTCAATATTACAGAGAAATAAACCTGCCTTGAGCTTACAAATACCTGTTTTTTCTAAAAAGTTCAAAATTTAATTAAATTTTGAACCTCAGTGGAATATCCAGCAATCGTATCCCAGCCTCAGCCCTGCTTCTCTGGGTGAAGGATAAAAGAGCCTCCCTGAACCTTTTCCAGCTTTCCAGGCTGCTCTGCAGCCAACCACAAGCTGCAGCCGAGCACTCGGCGGCAGATGTTTGCACACTGCTAATCCAAGAAACGTTATAAAGTGCTCAGAAACACCCAGCAGTGCAAGGTGATGGCCCTATTTTTACTCCTCGGTCTATACACATTGAACTGGACTGGTTGCTGCTTCTGTAAGTGGCTGCAGGACACAGAGTTTCTTTAGACTTTCTGCACCATTGCAATGGTTTACGAAAATCCAGCTTGGCTCCTTTCCAACATTCATACAGTATTTATCAGCACACTTGGAAAAAAGAAGTCAATATAAACAGATGTGAATCTAAGATAAGATTTAGTCATGTTCTACATCAATTACATTCCTCTCAAGTTCACAGGGAGCGATGACCTTCCACGTCACAGGTAAATCTGACCTACTTTTCCTACGAGAAGAGAATGCCTACAAGGACACCTGGATAGTGCTCTTCATTTAAAACACATGATGCAATTAGAATAATCCCCAAAATTAAATAGCAGCAAAAAAAAAAAAAAAAAGAAACTGCACATCTTATATCTAGCTATAAATCATTTGGCAGGTGTCTAGTACAAAGATAAGCATCATTAATCATGAATAAATTTTCTTAGCACAAAAGTAAATAGCAATTATGTAACTGTATGCACACCACGTCCGCCACAAACCTGCGMCTAGCCATATTCTAAGACAATTTGGTCTTTTATAGCATACTCTTTATCCCTGGGTAGCACTAAAACCTGCCTCACCTCTCTAAATATTGTTATCCAAAACTTCATTCTCTTCTGTTCTAAATGAACTGGACGCCAGGCCCAGAGCCACCCACGGGTGGTGCAGACCATCGCCGGGGCACACACAGCTTCAGGGAAAGGCTGGTTCTTTTCAATACATCAAGTTTAAAAACAAGACAGTTTGCACACCCATATAAATCAGACTATGAACACACCCTACACCTAAGTACACATGCAGATGTCTGYGTGCATACTGCCCATTTTTTTAAAATGCAAGAATAAAAGGCAGTTAAACTAAACTGCCTTATTTCCATGATGGAAAACAAGCACTAGCAAGTCTTTCACTTAGACCTTTGGAGAAAGACAGTCTTACTTTTCACATTAAAGTAGAGGCATCTTAGAATCTCTTTTCAGCTGTGTCAAACTGTGTGAAAAGCCCCTCAAGGTCACATCCTGACACTAGCACGTCAGTCTGYGAGCACTCCCAATGATTTCGGCAGACTCACTCTGTGTCTATGAGAACAGTAGCGTGATTTTCTATACCTCTTCATCTACAAACTGCAGTTATGGACATTTAGGCTTCTTTGAGGAGCCTTTTAAAATCCCAAAAGAAAACACYCTGTGTGAAGGCACCAGATTTACAGACCTGCTTGACTATTGCCGCTGACTACTTTTGTTGTAAGCGGTCACTCGACGGAAATCAAAATATTAAGCTGCATAATTCTTTGGTAATTTCCCACAATAACTGTGAGGGTAAATAATGCTGAAGAGAACATCTGGTGCTAATACATCTGCATATGGAAGATAATTACAAACAATTAGCGGGCTGTTTGGACCAGGCGTATGCGTGCCCAGCGCTCGCCGCCTTCATGCTCCGCACTGGGGCTGGGGGGAAGGAGGAGAAAGCAGCAAGATGGGAGCAGCATCCCCCTCCCAGCCTCCCCCTCCGAGGATRCAGCCCCTCGAGGCAGAGGAAGCTTCATCTACATCCAGTCTGGTCCCTTTTCATGTATAAACACATTTTCTCAGTATTGACTTACTGAAAAACCTGATAGKTATTCACTGTCTCAGTTACATTTGCAAATTCAGATAATTTAGTGATTCCTATAGTCTAATTCTAAGAAACTTTTAATTACTCTCTGTTTTCTTTTTCCTCTGTTCGATAGTACTTGTTTCTTCTCCTAGAGCTGTAGAAAATCCAGGGGATTAAAAGCTAGAATGTGAAAGTATTTTACTACCAATGAAGTGTTTCTTAATTTACATTGATTTATTTGGGATAAAACGCATGAAATCTAAGTTGTCCTGCTTTACTTTTTGTGCATCCTAAAAATGTAACAAAGGCAGGTTTGAATTCAGTAGTTTAATTATAAACTTAGCTAAGTGGATTATAATGAAAGATGTTCTAGAGATGGAGCTCAAACTGATGCATTATGACTACATTAACAAAAACACCAGAGAATAGACTTTCCATCAGGAGAATCACTTTAATTAAAACAGCGAAACTCTTCTCTGGAATGATCCTGCTTTTACATCCAGTTCCCTCTCAGTGCTTCCAATGTTTTGTACAGAAGCACACTTGACTTTCCCAGACTAAAAGCTATATATGATGTCAAATCATATGATTTCAACTGCAAGATTGCRAGAGCTGGGGCTTCCCACCAAGCAGCGACCACTGCGACTACCTGCTGGCTGCCCCAGCCTTGACATTCCCCATTGCACTCGACTGTCAGGGGCTTTGGGAGGGTCTCAAATTTACACTAATTTACCTTAATACCCTTCAAGCTACTATGATATTTTTCACATCATTAGGGGCAAAGAAATCAGGAGCATAATGCTCAAGGCTGCCAATAGGTTTCTGCTTGTGACCTTCAGCATCAACACTTCTTGAGCAGTAGAACATATGAAGTGTCCAAAAACTTTCATTATAATTAATCTTTCCACATTTTGTGCACTTTTACAGATTTACTTTATATAGTTGTAACACGTCAAACCAGACATCTGTGCAGCCCTTCATCCTGTCCCTGGTAAGAGGCCAAAACCAAATGCCCAGGGCAGAAGAACAGAGCACCCATCAATGATATTTCTCCTTATGCTTTCCCCACATTCCCACTTCCAAGGTGAAGGAAGCCTTTGCACCTGCTAGCCCTCAACAGAGTTCACTCCTATAAACTTACAGAGTCTGCTCTTGAAATTACCTAGATTTTCTGCAGAAACCCGTGGGGGCCTCTTGGTGCCCCGCTCCTCAGCCAGCCCAGCAGGACACAACCCAGGAATAAACTCAGTGACATTTTCTGTGCGTGACTTYGAGTCACAGCAAAACTTTATGGCTCTGAAAATAAAAAAGTCTCTTTGTTCATTTCTCATTGCTTAGAAGTTTGAATCCGTTATCAATTCGCTATTCTGCTGTATCTTTTAGCACTGGCACTAGATGAATTAAAGGTCCCTTCAAACTCAGCTATATCTGAGAATTGCAGTCACAGTTGCCTAGATCTTGGATTACTGTTAAATTGCAATTAGGATGACAAAGGGAAAGGGAGCTGGCACCACTTCCAACGCTATTTCCCTAAGTGTTATTGCAAGTTGTTGTTCAAAGAGGGTTATTCTCTCCCCCCTGCAAAACATCACACACAATGCRCATTCAGCAACATAATACTGTTTGAAACTATATCTTTAATTATTTTTCCTTAACTAGCAAACTYTGAAATCAGACTCAGCACAAACTCCCCACTTCAGCATCTTGACTGTTCTCAGAGAAAACCAAAAGTCACCAAGTCTTTCACGTCACATTTCAAAGTCACAAATCATAAGGCAATATAGGTAAAGAAAAGCAAAGCCCACCTCGTAGCCTTTGCTGCAGCTACAGCGGCAGATTTTCTTGCATTTCCGCTAAAGCGCGCRCAGATGATCACAGAAATTAAATGTTTTTTCCTGCAGGGATTTTCTTTTGCATGGTGACATTATATCATTTGTCATGAACAYGGCACTGCAGCCTGCAGGTCATGGCTTCCTCCCCTCCCATGGCCACCCCATGGGCTTTACTCATCTTACGCCAAAGGTCAAAACATCACGATGGAGTCCCACAAAGCACMGGAATCACTTCGTAGGGAAGGCCACCTGCTTCCTCCTTGCAAGCACCGCAGGACACCAGGGAGCTGCTGCTGGGGCACTCGCTCCCCGCGACGTCCCAGCGCCAGGCACAGCAATTCCAGCAGCACCYGCTCCTGCGGCGGACAGGCTGCCCCAGACCAGCGCCCAGACTGCCACAGGAACAGAACAGCTGAGCCTTGTCTCCAGTTTAAATTCTGCCTTCTCCATTTCCATGCAGCAACCAGAGCAACCAGGTGCATGCCCTTATCAAAGCATCTGACCAAACACATGTGCTGGAGATGGGCAGGAAAACACCACAGTTTTACCTCGATGTCCAGGTGTGGGGGAAGTACCGAGCAGTTCGACACCGAACCCCACCAGTTGGTGATGACAGATAAAATAACCCCAATGCACGCGCTGCTGAGGAATGGCTGTGTGAAATTRCAGAGGACAAGCTTGGTGCTTCTTGAATGTGCAAAGTTTCCTTCTGCCGTAATGMTTATATTAATAATAATGTCTTTTCACCACTAACTAAGCCTCTATTTTTGTCTTCACTGCTTTGCAGCTCACACTTCCTATCCCCCGGTCTATTTACAACCGAGTTAACGTAAGCAGATGCACATGAACCCACCGGATAAATTCCGTTTCAAAAACTCATTTCCAAAGCGCTGAAACAGCCAGTTATTCCAAGGCATCCTCTGCCATCAGCTGTTTGCACCAACGCAAAGTCTCAGGGCGCTGGGAGAGARGGACCGCAGGGCGCGAGGCGCTACCAGCAAACACGGCAGCTCGACCACAGATCAGCTGCGAGGGGCTGTAATGAGCCCCCACACGAGCAAGGCTTCATTATTTCTGTGGAATATGCCCTGTATAAGTAAGGTCTCATGGAAGAACACATACTTTAAATAATTAAARCTGGAGTTGTCAAAATAAGCTAAGCGCCATTTGTGGTGCTTTGTTACTGAGGGCTCACTTTGCTGCCCACCCAATTTGCAACAGATTTCCCTGCCATCAGGGCAAATTGGCCTGTATATAACATGTGTTAAAAGGGGGGTTAAAAAACATTGCTACGCTGGGGAATAAAAGGACAAAGTGAGGTCTGCGCACACATGAGAAAACCACCAGACTGGCATCAAGAATCTGCTTCTGAAACCTGCTTCTTAACGAGGCACAAACACCAACATGCAGAGACTGTGCTCTGAATCCAACTTGCAGAAAGAAATTACCTAGAAATTACCTACAGACTCACTTCAAGAGTGCAGCAGTAACACAAAACGGCTTGTAACACAGGTAGCCCTTGGCCTCAGGCTTCAGGGATTGTTTCCAGACATGCTTTTCATGTGAAAGGCTATTAATAACAACGCCTGCATATTTGTTTAAAGATGGACGTGTTTTCATCTTGAAATCAACAGTGCATGGTGACAATAAAAATAGCAGCCATAAAAGCAGTCATAAAGAAAGACCCTGCTCTTTAAATCAATTGAAGCAACCAGCTGGGTAAAACTAGATATCTATTTTAATTTTGTCCCTTTTTTCGTCTTTCTTATCTTTTCCATTTGCATTTCTTTCCTCCTGTAGTCACTCACTCTATTATTAGCCCATTGCAGAGACTAATCTCTTTAGGGCGAGAAAAATATTTGCCCTGAACCCAATGCAATATGATCCACCCAGGGGTCCCAGAGGCTACCGTGGTATTAATACAAAAAAAAATCGTAATGATATCAGCTGATAAAATTCCTCAGTATAATAGTATTTAAGCAAGGTCAATTGCCTGTGCAGCTTGTTCCTACCAGAGTTCACGTTACATCACTGCTCCTRTCGTCCTGACCTTCCCTGCTGTCACCCCCATTACAGTTCAATTAACAGAGGAGTCCTGCCGTGGCTTGATGAGCATCTGCTACATCTACCTGGCAGTAATTCAATAAGGATACGCCACAGAAAGGGATAATGAGAAGCCAGCCCAGTTGTTCTATCTCCCCCTGGGAGAGCAGATGAGTTTGGTTTATGGGAAAGAGCGTGACCTATGAAAATTAGCAGTTAATTTCATATTTCAGGGCTTCAACATGTTACTGGTAACTTGGAGTGTTCTCTGGCTGCTCTGACTGTGGAGCTCACAAGGCTCCAGACTCAGCTTTCCTGACAGGTCGGTGACTAATAAACCTTCCCACGCTGAACGAGAACACCTAGCTGAAAATGGTTCCTGCTTGCCTGTTGCGCCACAGGAACAGCTTTTTCTCGGGCATGGGACACTTGTAGGTCCTGCTGCACAAAACATGGCTACCAAAATCACCCATGTAAGGTGCTCCTTGCTGCCACCGGCTCAAATTCTGGCTCTCCCTCCATCTCCTTCTTTACCTTTCCTGTCGTTACCCCACTGCTTACACCTCCTCCCCTTCCCCTGTCTCAGGAACACCCGCTCCACCGCCAAAAGGCAGCACTATCTATCCCCAGTCTCTTCATCTTCTATCCCACCRCTGCTCCCACAGCAGCTGCCTGAGGGATGCGTCACTGCAGCACCTTCCTCAGCCTCCTTCTCTTGCACACACTGTTAGGGATCAAACAGGACTGGGCTGCTCTGCTCCTGAGACTTCCATTTTTTTCTGCTACTTTCCTTTTCTTCTTCCCTCCTCTTCTCTCCTAGTTCTGCTGCCAGGTACATTCTTCTTCCTACACTGCTTCCATCGGTGTTAAAACAGATCAACACCTCCGTTATCCAGCTTCCCTCCATTCCCGTCTCATAAGCCCCACATTTATTTTCATGAACTTCAGCTTCTAGGGGAGGACCCATTTTATTCTGTGGTTACAACATCCTCACCATTCAATGGTTTTGTCACCCCATTTCCTCATTCACTGAAACAGGCACTTTTAACTTAATTTCAAACACAATTTTCTACATAACGTCTCCTGTGGCAGCACTCCCCCACCACCATCAGCATTTAGTTTCTTTAAGGTAGGTTCAGTGAAGCACAGGAGAGGCAAGAGAAGGGCGGGCAGAGGCCACCTCTCCCCCTTCCAAGTCCCTCTCGGCGCTCGCKGCGTTTCACGCACATCCCTTCCCAGCTCACAGTTATTTGGCCTCGCGCTGACGACTCCATCCCTGCTCGACCCCTCGTGTCTGCRAGCACAGCCAAGGGGCCCCTCCACGTCCCGCTCCCAGGACAATCCAGGCTGGCAGATCCCTCCTCAGGGCATCCTGCTCAAAGTGGCATCAGCTACGATACCTGGCAGGATATTTGACGCTGTTCTCAAACTTTCCTTCCACTTCCCGCTCCACAAAGCCCAGTATCCGTTTCCTCAATAGCAGTTTTCAAGCTGTSGTCATCTGCACGAATCCTCCGGCCAGACTCATTTCTTCCATTTCAAACTAACTCTTTCCTCTTTCTCCAACATCCCTTTCAGCTCCCCAGTTGAGCTGCCTGCTGCCCCACTAGTCCGGGCCATTTCCTCTACAGCTCAAATCCTCTACACCTCAAATCCTCCTCTAATTCTTTCCAACACCAAATTAATTGATTTCTTCCAATAGGTAACTAATGCAATCTTACGAAACATCTTTTCTTAGCTCGGTATCCAGCCCTGCCCCTCACCAGCCCTTTGGCTCCTTGCACATCCTCGCTCTCATTTTCCTTTTCCCCGCACTCAGCTTCATGACTATTTTCTCTGTTCTCTGCTTTTCCTGGAAGAGCTGATAAAGGCAGCAGCACAGAGCCACACTGAACTCCATCCAAAATAGTACACCAGAACAGTTTTAGACTTGCAAATAATTCAGATTTTAAGAAATGCTAGAATTAAAGTTGCCTCGTGGTTATATATATAATAGTCAGGCTTCATGATTATACCTATTTTTATCATACTTCTAAAATTTATTTTACAAGCTATTTAAATACACCTGACTTCTTTTGATTTYATCTATTCACCACACTTGCTTTTAACCCTCTCATAGGCTTCCTTACACTCCTTCTCTCCCAAATAAGTAAATACTGTAAATACTCCCAAATTTTAATTGCAAAAAATGTTGCTTCATTTATAATACTCACATGTATTCTAGAAACAGATATACTTATTTAATGATATCAGAATGAAGGCATTAAGAATGTTTCTTTAATCCAGCTATGCATTAGTTTCCATTTGGCTAAAGAATAATACAGTCTAAACCACAAATTCTCCCTAATCTGAGGCAGAATCCCTACGTTTGCAATATTCACCAGCCAGATTTGTTTTACAGTTCCACTTCATTACTAATAGCAAAATAAAATCTATCTATCCAGACACCAATTGGGCACCGGGCACCAATTGGGGTCCTGATGAGGCTGCCAGGTGTGTTTTAAGCAGACTTTATTCAACAACACAGATCTTCCATTTCCAATTGTCAATAAATATTGAGCTTGATTTTCCTTGACTGGAGTTGTGGTGATTGTTAATACATGCTAAAAGTTTATTTTTAAAGAGACTTACAAAAACACAGTAGTCACGACAAGCAGCAATATATATCATGCTGCAAAAAACTTGGGGAGTTTTTTTCCCCTCTCCCCCAAATTGCACTTTTCCGAATTAGCTGAACTAAGGAATGAGCCTAACAGTRTGCAAAGCTCTCTTTCATATAAGCATACCTAGAGGTAGATGCTTACCAGACTTTAGGTTTTATTTTCCAAGTGCTTCACAATATAAATAGAAGATAAGCAAATGTCCAGGAAGAATCGGAGCTGGCCCAAATTCTCTTTGCAGRTTTAGGTTTACAGCAATTAGCAGCTTCCTCAGAGAAATGAATGGACTTTAAACTACATAAAATCTCATTTGTTGGTCTCTGCTCAAGATACAAGCATTCTTGTTTGCCTAAAATATCTGTGACTGCCCCTACGAATACCTTCAATATTAAAATCTGCATCCATTCTCAGGCTTGTCTTGCACATTACTTGGGCTATTTTACCCTTCTTTAGGAATTTTGTCCTTCAGAGATGGAAAGAGATGGAAAACTGAATACATGWTAGTAGAAGTATTTTAATTGCACAAACAAGTCTAAAATAAAATTGCAATCTAAATGGCAGAAGTAAAGAAGCAGTGACCATTTCTTTAGAAATTGATTTACCAGACAATATTTGGCATAGGCAGCACAAGAGTTGTGTGGTAATC